ACTGAGTTAGTACACTGAACTTTTTCTAGCTTGTCAGGTCATGTTTAAAAGTTACACAGTAAAATGGAACAGGAGGTGCCTGTTCAGCGAGTGTCTGAACCTAATGGAATCAAGAGAGTAAAACAAGCTTTCATGAAAATGAAAATGCATTATAAATCACATTACTGAAGTATGCCACCAATATAGGTATCAGTAAGAGGAGTGTGTAAGTGTATTTGCTACTCAGCATGAGAACTAAAAAAGGGCAAAGGGTTAACCGTATCCAGAAAGTGCTAATTTCTAACAAGAATACAAGAAGCTGGGAGGTAAAGACTGTTTGATGGAGTGCCTGGGTGGCCCTCCATGAAACAGTATCTTGTAGCATTTAAGACCAGTAACATCAGATTATAGAACATACAGAACATGTATCTTACTGTTTCTTTGCAAAAAAAAGGCAAACAAACTAAACCGATTGCTCACCGGTGGGAAGTTCCTTGGAAGGCCATTTTGGTTCATGAGCATTTTGATCTACTGACTTTCTTCTCTAAGGTTGTCTATCAGAATTTTATTTTCATCGCTAACCATAAAGAATGGCATTCCAGCACCTTCCTGGTGAGTAGCAGGCTTGTTGATAATTCCAGAGGCTCCAAATCAGACACACAACATGCTGAGAGCAGTCATCTCCTGCACGGTGGCACTGGCCTGATCCTGTAGTATACCGAGGAGGGGGCAGTATTCATTGGCTCTGAAGAGCGCTAGCAACCTAAACCCATCTTTGACAACGAGGGCCTCAGCACCTTGAGATCGAACCCTGTGTTCTCCGTGGCAACTCGTTGTTCATGCCATTACAAACATAGCTAGCATGTCTCCAGGTGTAAACTTGGTGGGTTTACTAGCAATGAGGAGAAGTTGTGATGACATATAATTACACTTAGTATCAACCACATGTATATAGGAATCAAATGACTAAATCGGTGTGCTGTGAGGCACAGCTTAAAACTCTACAGCTGAAAAGAAGACATAGCCTAGGTTTGAGATAATCTCAATCCGCTGTTTGGAAATGGTTTGGCCCCTCCCATTTGAAGAGGGTATTTTACTATAGTAACTTGTTTTTTAATTTTGAAGGTAATAAGTTGCTGCAGTCTGAGCTTTTTTTCTATGAGAATAGCTAATGAATGATGAAGTGCTTTTTAATTAAAGACAAAATAACTGAACTATAAAATTTGCATAATGATACAACCAGTAAGCTTTGTATCTCCATCACCCTCAAACAACAAAGTCCCTTTTCTTTCACATACATGGATTGTAATCCAGAGCTAATGATATGGGTAGAAATGTTCATGCCTTTGTGAGCCAAGGTTCCTAATGCAGTATTTACATGCATTTTCCTTTAAGCTTTCATCTGCCACTTTGATGAATTACCTAGCAAAAGGCTCTAAGGTGAACTAGCTGCTCCACCATCATGCTTGGGAAAACAAGATGAAGTGCTAATGAGGTTAAAGGAAATGTATTCAGCACCAATGTTAACTCACATGGGTTTGAATATCCACATAGCAAGACATTGTCACCTAAACAATCTCTGCTGGTTTCTGGCCTACTGAGCTACAACTCACTTGTTTCTTTTAAAAGTCTGCCAGAGAATCCATTAATTGTTAGGAAACAAGGGCGACCATCAGTGGAGCTGTGGAAACGTGGGGAGGAGGGTGAGAGAGGGGATGTCAACATTTGCTAGATGATAAACATTAACACCCCCCCCCAAAACATCTGTCCCAGATCTTGTTTGAAAACTGTTCCTTCTGGGAAAAAGTCTTTAGACTGAAACATTCAGGTATTGCCCAGCTACTTGAATGATGCATGGGAGCTGAGCCCATGTAGCTGCTCCGGGCAAGTCATTTTTCAGTCACCTCACTCAGATTCTTTCAGTCGAAATCTACAAAACTCGCACCTAAAAATTGTCAGAGGAATTCACAGCCAACAGCCACAACATTCTTGTACCAGCTGTTTATAATGCTTTGACAACATTGAAAGCAAGGGGGAAAAAAAGCTATCGGATGTAATATCATCTCATTGGGAGGCAGCGGTTGTACCAGAAATGTCATCTACTTAAGCAATAATAATGGAGGCACAAGGCAGTTCTTTGGGATTGATGACCAGCTGGGAAAAGTTGATGGCCTGAGAATAACCAGGGGCCATTAAGCCAGAAGAACATTAACTCCACAGAAAGCTCTCTGTTACGGTAATTATTACAGTGACATTTGGACAAAAAAAAGCAAACCAAAAAAAAGCAAACCCATGACATATGAGTTATATTTTAGGTAGGTGATGCAACCCTTACTTCATGAGCCTTGCTTTAAAATGCCCAGAAAAGGGATAGGGTGAGAGGTAGATGAGTTTTATGGCATCTGTATTAATTATCTTGAAATGTAACATATAATGCATGTGAAAGCCGCTGACATTTAATGGTACCCATCGTCAAAAGGCAGCCACATTTTCATGTGCATATACAGTGCCTTGCACAACATGGCAGAGCATGTGGCTACTTCTACAACACAAGTCAGTCGTACTCAGGGCACTTAGTGAACGAGACAAGTTTCAGCCAAATAAATTGCCCAAATTACCTCTCAGTTCCAGCCACCTGAAAATACATATGGAGGGGGGGAGAGAGAGAGAGAGAGAAGAGGTTACAAGACAGCAAGCTTACAGTGCTAGAACCCCAGAAGATGGCAAAATCAACTGGTGCTTTTCTGGGATAGATGGGCTATCCCAAGGGAATGAAGGGAGCAGGTGAACCTTGCTAGGTTCTGGTAAACCCCGTAACAGCACCTCCCTGGCCATAACAAATGAGTGCAACCTTGCACTGCTCTAAATATCATGGGCCAAACTGACTCCTGGCAACTTTCACTTACAGAGATTATAGCCCAGTAAGTACTGTTGCTATATCACATACATCTGATTTGTTTAATACCAACCAACAGACAAACAGAAACAAAAAACAATTCCACAGTTGTTTCTGTATTTTCCAGTTTGAGGCAATCTGCTCTATTATTGACTTTAAAATCTATGCTGTCCAATGATAGAAAAAATGTTATTTTCAGACACTTTATTGCTCAAAAAAAAAATCAATGGAAAAATGTTATTCCTGATTCAAAATATGTTACTCTTAGATATAATTATTTTCTTTGTGATGAAATCAAATGATCAATTTTTTTTTTTTGCTTACAAAAGTCTTTTGATTTTAAAGCCAAGATTTAGAAAACAAGACAATTCCCTCCAGTAAAATCACGGACACTGGAAAACACACTTTTTCCTATACTGAGTACTTAATGACCTACTTTCAAGACCCCTGGGTTCAGATCACTACATGATCAGTAGTATAAAAGTTTCCCTTCTGTAAGTAAAAAAGAGAGTATTTTATCTTGGCAATGATAACCTGGCCAACAACAAAGGAGGAAAAAAAAAGAGGTATCTTCTGGAGCGAAGAACAGCTCATTACGGAGTTCAGCAGAAAAAGACCACCTGTCAGTTCAGCAACACCAGCATTCCTCATAGATACATCTGGAAATATTACAGATGACTTCAAAGTGTATTGGCAGAGAGCAAGAGAGACCGAGAAAGGTTAAAGAATATCCAAATTCCTTTTGGATGAATGACCTTTAACTGAGCATTTGAGACCGAAAGTGCAAAGTATCAGTAAGGTACTTGACAGCTATGTTTTTCTCTTGCACTGCAACACCTCTACAGCATTTTGTTAGCCAGCGCCAGCATGCTTGTCTTCTGTCTGATCTGGAATGAAAAGCTATAGGGCTTCTTCACTCTGTATTAACTACCTGAACCATATCACTGAACCAACAACCTCCTCTGCAAGAGCTCCCAAACTGACCACTAAAGTAAAAGCAGTGGTAGAAATAAGAACACTGATGTACAGGAAAGCAAAACCGTTTCCATTTTCAATTGAATTAATTCAGTATAGGGCTATATTAATGGTTTAAAAAGCACACGTAAACACTACAAGAGACAGTCTGGTTCAGGAGAAAGTGAGCTTATTCCAGAGCAGTCTAGCTTTCTCTTTTTGTTATAAAGCAGATAATTTCAGTGGTAGGACTTTCACGTCTCCACTACCTAGTGTGCCCATTGTGTCTGGCCTAAGCACAACAGCTAGCTTGTGACACGCTCTGTATGTTACCTCAGTATTTACTTTTTATGTTCCTTGCCTTGTGCACAGAACTTAATCAGCATTTCATACGTGATGTTAATGAACCCTGTGTTCATCCCATGTTCAATGTAATTTATTACTTATGGCTTGTTCTTGCTTGCTGGGTCATCAGCCACCAGCAACAACACTGAGTAGTTAATGCGTTGCCAGTAGTATCATATTTTGTTCTGGCAGCTTCAGTTCTGACTTTT